CGAAGTGGAGGGTGAAATTATGGAAAGAATTAGTCGTGAAAATAGCACTCAAAGCAAGAGGTGGATAAGAAGCAAATAGAGGAGTGGAAACGATGGATGAAATGTAGGGAGTGCGTAAACTCGAAAAAGACAGCCAAATTACCGTTATTTGGTCGTCCGGCTAAACTTTTGCCAGCTGATCCAGAAATAGTGTCAAAGCCGGATATAGTATCCAAATGAACAGCACCAATTGTAACAGGTGTGTGTGAGGTGGTCGCTATAGCAGTCTCAGCAATTGTGAAAGCAGGCATGGACGTAATATTTCCCGGAATAGCCGTAGCCATCGAGTGAATGGGAGGAAAGCTTTCTTCCGTGTCTACATCAGCGGTTGCCGAAATGCCACCAGTTTTGACTACCGTCACATTAGGCGTAGCAAATGCTTCGTCTATGGGAGGACTTGTTGATTGTGTGGCAGGAGTATCAACGTTGCTGAGGCCAGCATTTCCAACTATACTGCCAGAATGAGCAGGACAAGTAAAGTTAGAAGTGGAAGGGACAGCCTGACTGACCGGTATCGGGAGGTCTAGCACAGGGAATGAGGCCCCTGCAAGATCAGGCTCTGCAGGAGGATATGGACACTCAAGATGAACCAGATGGAATGCCTGAATTGCGATTAAAAAGAATTGTAGTTTTACAAACAAGAAATAGCATACTAGACTTTTTTAATCGTGATATAATTACTGTATTCTATTATAACTAGGGAAGGTAACAGTAAAGTCCATTTCTTCTTTTTCTCCAGGCTAAAGGCCAGGAATAGTGAGTTAATTGAAGGATAATTTCACAATGATAAAGTCTATCACATGCCGGAAGAAAGTTTAACATGGATTGATTAATCGAATGGCGGTGCGCCGCGGACTTTTAAGTATGATTAAATAGCCCCAGCTCCTATTTCCAATGAGGCCAGTTTATAAATGCATTTCCCACTAAATGATGTGTTCTATCACATTAAATCTTTAGGGGACTATTTGAAATGCAACCTAAATTCATACCTCCAAGTCAATTAACCTTAATCTGACCTAGCTTTCAGTACGTTATAATGCTGTCCGGAAGACTTATAAAAGCTGAACTAGTACTAGCTATTGCTAGCATATATTGTGACCCGAAGTAAAATTTGGTTGGAAAGCATCCAGGAACTGGTCTCACCATAAACCGAAGGATTGTTTGGGAGTGAAGACTGTTGGATTGTGGGAAAAAGTCCTCGGCTTACTGTCCTGTGACGAATCAATTAGTGTTGAGTTTTCATGCGTCATCACAGACCTCATTAGAGCAAGAAACCTTGTAGGTATGAAAACCAAGATGGCATTGCCTTCTGCTTGGTCGCAGTCTCCTTTAGCTTTATAGTGTTGGTTCGACCTTATTTTCGCAACTTGGTCGAAGCCTTGTGGAACGTACCTAGTCCCATGTCCTCTGCCATAGTATTCGTGATTTCCAGTGTTGAACCATTGGCTGGACACATTCCCAAGCGTTTCGTCGGCATTGTCAGTGAGAGGCGCCATCGTAAGCACAGAAGTACAACTTATTAAAGTGACAAGTGAAGGCAATCCCCTTGAACAAACTTGGGCAAGGTTAAAGCATGAAAACGAAGTAGATGTGGCCACTGTTGTCTACTTGTCTTAATTTTCGGAAAAGGTTAAAGCATTTAGTATGTTTATTAGTGTTTAAGTCCCAGCCTGACTCGAGACTATTCCAGCTTCTTTTCCTTGCTTAGCGGTTCTTGTCCCCTCAAACATATCCAACAGCCACAAATACTTTCCGTCCAATTTCATCCATCCATTCCTCTCATTCAGGATGTTAGCTGCTTTATTCCAAATATCTTATTTTACTACTTAACCTAACCATGTTGCGAAAACAAGGTCAAATAACCACTATACAACGAAAGGAGACTGCGACCACACAAAAAGCCACACCATCTTGGTCTTCATACCTGCGATTAAAGTATGGAAGTAATATTGCCAAACAATGCACTGATT